AATCCCACCCTCCCTCCCTCATCTTCTCCCTGCCCCTTTCCAAGTCCACTGATAGGGGATGATTGGGGAGGACCTCCTCCCCTTTCATCTGACCCTGTTTTATCAGGTAAGTTTCTTCATTTGTAAAACAAGGTCACAATACTTGCTTCACAGGGTTTCTCCAAAAATGAATGAGGTAAGGGTTGGGAGGTGGATCAGTCAATAAAGAATCATGAGAAACTGAGTTTCAATTCCCAGAACTCACAAAGAAAACTGAGGGTAGCCACGCATGCTGCAAAGACAGATTCCTGAAGTTCGTTAATTAGTGATCCTGTCTCTAGAAAAAGAAGAGGAAGAAGAGGAAGAGAAGGAGATCATCAAGGGAAGACAGTTGATATTGACCTCTGGTCTACACACACACACACAGCAATAATTATGTACATCCTATATACACAGCACATCACACACATGGAACACAAATAAATGCTTTTAAAATGAAGTGAGACACAGTAATAAAGCACAACTGGTCTTAGAATGTTCACAAAAATAATGTTTTCTTTTCCTTCCATCTTAGTTTTGATCTTAGTTGTATTTTAGATTTGAATTAGCAGAGTTAATTTATAAACAGATAATAACAGAAGCATGAGTAATACACAGAAGCAGAGAATCCTAACCTTTCTAATTTTGAATATCAATGCTTGACTGTAATTATGTTTGTTGAGTGATCAATTTTAAAGAATTCAGAAGACCTCACATCAAACTAATCTTTGGTTATTTAAAAGCACTTCATTTTGTCCCTTTTGAAGAACGATAGTCAATAGCCAGCATGAAGTCAGTTTCTACTTATGTGTTTGAGATTCAAAGGAAAAAAGGAAAAGGGAAAGGAATTTTCACGAAAAGAAGGCTCTGCTGTACTCCTAAAGAATTGCTAAAATCTGAACTCCTCCGTTATCTCTCTCACTCTTCCTTCTCCTTGCAAACTTTGCCTTACTTTCCTCCAAAGAGGAAGAATTGGGGCTGTGGGAGTGCAGTCAGGGAAAGGTTATTTTCATCCTTCAGATTTCTGTCATATTGTACTTTGCAGAAGAAGAGTCACCAAGTCAGCTGATGGCATGGAAGGAAAGGGATGGTGCTCAGCAGGCAATGCTGGGAGAAAGGGATGCAGATCCAGAGGAGATAGCTCAACAGGAAGCTAGGTGGAGAGTGGCCACCTGGGCAGTTCGGGGTTGAAATGCATCCTAGGGCAAGGGATGGTCTGAGAGAACAAAGCACTAAGCTCTACATTAAAGAGTAGAGGGACACATTTCAGTTCAGGAGTTCTTAGGGAGAACCAGCGAAGCCCACAGTGTGCAGAAGGTTTTTGATTGGTAACTGTTATAAAACCCATTTCACCTTTTTACTTATAGAAAATATCTTCAATTTTCTTATGGAGTCTGTCGGCAGATTGGCATTTCTCTGAAGATGAGAGAATGAAGTGGCCAGTCTGGGGAGGAGTATTATACATCACAAAATGTCAGATGAGTAGGAAGAAAGACAGTTTTGGTAGAAATAGGCCCAATCATTGTCCCCTCCCATCACTCTTACCTGCTTCCTGTTTGAACTTTTACTGTTTGTTTTCTTTAAAATTTATTTTTATTTTATGTATATTGGTGTTTGACTGAATGCATGTCTATGTGAAGGTGTCAGATCCCCTGGAACAGGAGTTACAGGCAGTTATGAGCTGCCATGTGGGTGCTGGGAATTCAACCAATGTCCTCTGGAAGAGCAGTCAGTGCTCTTAACCACTGACCCATCCCTCCAGCCAGAAATTTTACTATTTTATACTATTAAATACAGCACAGGGAAGCTAATGACTGATACCTCCAAGTGCCCTGTACTGTCCTTAGAATTCTTCCACTCCCAAAAGATGGTGATGGCTCAGCAGACAGATTAATGACAAGAGACAGGAACAAGTTCTTCATGAATACAGGGTAGGTGAGCTGAAGTGGGTAAGACCAAGAGTTGGCTCAATAGTTAAGAGCATATTCTGTTGCAAAGGACCTGGGTTAGATTCCCAGCACCCACATGGAGGTTCACCCCCTCTGCAGGCACCAGGCATACATGTGGTGCACAGACATACATGCAGGCAAAACATTCACACACAGGAAATAATAAAAAATAAAGGTATGGTAGTTCATGCCTTCAATTCCAGGACTCAAGAGGCAGAGACAAGCAGAACTTTTGAGTGTGAAGCTAGCCGTGTCTACAGAGCCAGTTCCAGCCCAGCCAGGGCTACACAGAGAAACCCTGTCCCTAAAACAGAAAAAAAAAATAGAATGAAAAGTAAATAAATAAAAATAAAGCTAAGAGAACAAAGAGGAGGAGACAAGACAATACGTAAGCTCCACACTGCTGTGAGAGATATAGGGAGATATACTAAAGGAAGAAAGTTGTCCCGGCCTCATCACTCCCCTGTCAAATGGCCACCAGTCACTACCTCTGCACTTGTTGGCTTGGATCTCTCGGTCTCAGTGTATGGGAAGCTACACTAGATCTACTGCAAGCCTATCCTCGGGCAGACAGCCATAGGCTCTAACTTAGTTGGTGTGGGGTGGGATCTAGAGAAAAAAAAAAAAAAAAGCAGTTTTCAGGAATTCCACAAGACCCTAATTCGAGCATTATGCAATATGTTTTAAGAAACAATGGAGTAAAAGATGGGGTGGGGGGGCGGGGCAGCGCATGTGTCAGTATTGGCATTCTAAACAGTCAGAGGAGGCACTACTGGGCTGTGGAGACCTGATATGAACAAGCATGAATAAGGCTTCTTCATTCACCATTTCATAAAAGGCTTCCTACAGCTGGATCAATTGAAAATGTCACCCAGGAGCAGGGCTCTGGTCTATCTAGTACAGGTGATGCCTTGAATTTTATCCCAGGCACACTGTTTTTTTCTCTCTCTCTTTAAAAGTTGGCTTTGGCTTAAGCAACTCATTGCAGAATAAATGAAGACATCACTAAAGGCTGTATATAGTGCCCTGAAAGTGTGCCACCCACAGCAATTACTAATAAAGTTGAATGTTTCAGAAGCAGCTACAGACAAGTGCATTCTAGCTTCTTTTGAATTGTGTGCCACTAATTCAGACCAGTGGGTAACTTTTATTTTGTTACAATTGATGATTCTGATTTTATCACACTTTTCAAAAGCTGTATTGAGCTGGGTAGGTTACACAGTGCAATGTAAGACATTAGATAAGCAACAGCTCGACTTAAAAAGTACCACAGGAACAACATGAAATCTCTGCTATTTTCTGAACTCTATAAGAGTTTTGCCTCGGAAATACTTAACAGGGAGTGGAAAGGACAGGTCACAGTTCTGTGAACTGAAAGGCTGGTGGGTGTCATCATTATAGTTGCAAACGAATCTTTCTGAGTGAGTCACAAATATGCTAGAATCCAAAACTGTTTATGAACACTAAAGCTTTGAGAACTGCTGTATGATAGACTCAGATTTCAGGCTGTAGAACCTAAAGAATGTGCTAGAAGGAAAGGAGAAGAAATAATGGACAGAGCTAGAGTCACGTTGGCTGAGTGAGAATGATGTTGACAGCCTTACAGGAGAGTGCTCTCAAGGGATAGACCTGCATGAGAGCAATGATAGGGAGATTGTGCAAAAGGAGAAGTTGGGCTGCAATTTTACTGGGCAGCTGGGCTGGTCATTTGAAGTGTCCGAAATGATACCTAGGAGTTGGTTTTATGTAACTCCCTGTTGGCCACTCTGTTTTGGCCTTCCCATTAGAATAGATTGTAGCCTTGGACAAATCAAAGCTCAGGAAAGGACACAGCTGTAAACTTCATCAGTTTTTCTTCCCTAGAGACGTGGATCACTTTGCCAAATTTGAAAGGAGGATCTCTTCAGACCATCATGGTATCCAATGTCAGTAGTATTTCAAAGGGGTAGCACTTATGGCAGGTAGAAAGCCACTGAAGAGGCACGGCAAGACCAGTGGGGCATGGTATACAAAGACAGGGGTTGGCTTCTAACAGGAAGTAAAGAAAGACAAAGGTTGGCCTCTGACAAAAAGTGGTTGGCAAAGGCTAAGCAAGTTATCCTTTCCCAAAAGGAACAAGCTGCCTCTGAATTGGCTTCTGTAGACTGCCATAGTAGTTGACATAAAGCTGCTTTAAAAAGAGGAAATCTCATTGATGCCATTGTAAATGAGAGAAGTCAGCAGTTCGGCATCCATAAATGTAAGTTTGTATTAAAAGTCTACATTTCCTAAGTACCAGACACAGAACAATGAAAATAATTCAATGTACATAGAAGTTTCCATCTCCACTTTAAAAAATTTTTACTTTATGTGCATTGGTATTTAGCCTGCATGTATGTCTGTGTGAGGGTGTCAGAGCTTGGAATTATAGACAGTTGTGAGCTGCCATGTGGGGGGCTGGGAATTGAACCCCAGGTCCTCTGGAAGAGCAGTCAGTGCTCTTAACCACAGAGCCCTCTCTCCACCACTCAGTTTCCACTTTTAAACTGCTTGCAGCCACAGCATTTGACCAGGGCTATTAAATTAATTGTAGAATTCCCATCAACATTAGCTAAATTTCAGATGTTACCAATGATCTTTTGTTGATATTGTTTGCTATTGATAACAAATTTCAAGTATGGAGATGTTAAAATATGACCACATGAAATATCTAGCATGCTGTTGTATAGTAGAGAGGTCTTATATGGCTTCTTAGTCTAGAACAGAGTATGATCTGTATGGTTGAGGATGACAGTTAATATGCATTGTCAGCTTAACTGGATTTAGAATCATCATGAAAACAGATCTCCAGGTATATTTACAAGCATGTTTCTTTTTTGTTTGTTTGTTTTTCAAGACAGGGTTTCTCTTTGTAGCCTTGGATGTCCTCGACTCACTTTGTAGACCAGACTGGCCTCCAATTCACAGAGATCGACCTGCCTCTGCCTCCTGAGTGCTGGGATTAAAGGCACAAGGATATTTCTAGAAAAGTTTAACTAAAAAGGGAAGACTCACCTTGAATGTAAGCCACATCATTCCATAGGCTGGGCTACTGGAATTAAAAAAAGAATATAAAGTGAACATTAGCCCAACATCTCTCTCCCTCTTCTTTTCTCTCTCTCTTCTCTATCTCTCCCTTCTCTCCCTCCATCTCTCATCTCTCTCCCTCCCTCTCTTCGTTCCTCCCTCCCTTCTTTCTTCCTTCCCTCCCTGTCCTTTCCCTCCTAATTGCCTAATGCTCTTTCTCTTCCTGCTTTGCTTTCCTCTCAAACTACTAGCCAAAATAAATGCTTCTTTTTTGGAGTTGATTTTGTCAGGTATTATGTCAGAACAATGAGAAATGTAATTGATATATTTAGTAAAGCTACCAGTCACTGTGGCTTGGGCTATAGCTCATCATTGCTTCATTTTTTTAGGTGCTTAATTTAAAAACTCACTTGATAACTTATTATTCAAAATAGAATTCAGCCAGAATCCTTACGGCACTATTATTTGGAAGATTATATTAGTTTACCAATACCATCCTCAAAATGAGTCATAATTTATTTCTGACTTCAAAGTTTAACACATTTATGCATTATCATTTCTTCCCTATAACCTACCCCACCTCTCATTTACCTTCATTTAGAAACTTTCTATGAACTCAGTGACATTAGAATTCCATTGTCAGCATAACTATGTGTATTTTAAGTATACAATTCATTCTTATGATCCTTACTTGTCTGTCTTGAAAAAGTCATACTCATCAATGCCAATCCTGAATTACCACACCAAGAATTTGTAATGCCAATTAACTCAAAATCTCCATCATGTATGAAGATTTATGAATATTCCAACGGCATTTTGACTTGCTAAAAAGCAAGTTCTGAGATTGCTCACTCATGTTTTGTCTTCAAGGATGAAAGAGTAACTTCAGAAAAATGTCATTTCCTTATTTGAAAAGATTTTTTTTAACTGAAATTCAGTTTGTACATTCATTTCCCCATATGTCATCTATATGGTGTATTTTATACTTTCATTCTTTCAAAAGTTATAAGCGTATATCAATGTAATTCTATTGCACTTTGAAAATGTTATAATAAGGTCAGAATTTCAGTGGTTCAGAAAAAAATAAAGCAACAATATGATTTTGATTAGGATAACAGTATCATTTATAATGCCACAACAATAAGAAATAAAGTCCATAATTTATAAAGTAAGCAATGCAATGATCATATGTCTAGAAATCATCATCTAATATTTATACATTTCTAGAATATTAAATGATCAATATGTGAACTTCAGTTTAATAATGTCTCATACTTTTTGTGTAAAAAAATGAGACAAATGAGAGTCTAATCCAGAAGACTTATTTGAAGTATATTTATCTTAAATTCTCTTAAGCATTAAACATTTGACTAAAAAAATGCCAAAAAGATTGTATTGTTACATCATATGTAGACTATAAAATTCAATAACAACAACAAAAAGCTTTTCACAGCCTGAGATCCAGGACAGCCATGGCTATATACAAAGGAACCCTGCCTGGAAAAGTCAGGGAAAGAAAGAAAGAAAGAAAGGAAGAAAGAAAGAAAGAAAGAAAGAAAGAAAGAAAGAAAGAAAGAAAGAAAGGAAGGATGGAAGGAAGGAAGGAAGGAAGGAAGGAAGGAAGAAGGAAAAAAGGAAAGAAAGAGAATTTCATTCATACAAAGTATTTTTCATGATATGATTTGTTTTACCATAGCTGCACCTTCCATTACCATCTTTGTAAGTAGACAAATGATTCATTTGGCAATACTTCCTGCCTTCTCTTCAGCGAGGCTCAAACTCAAGCCTTGGTGTGGAGGGCAGGAGTTCTAATGTTACAGATGAATTCTGAGGACAGCCTCACTGTTATGTTAGCTAGAGGAAATTAACATTTACTGAGCCAGGCCTAAACTTACTCATGCCCCAAGTGCCATTCATCCATTCAAGAAGTATTTATTAAATTTCTACTGTTTGCTAAATAGCTTCAAAGCACTTTTCTTTCCCAGGGAAGTCTTAGTACTAACCCCTATTATCTATGCTTAACTGTTGATACTAGACCAAACCAAGCATGTACTGTGGGGACACTTCAAATAAATAGCCTGAGCCTGGGCTAAAGGCCAAGACCACTGGAAACTCCCCTTTAAGATGTGCATTTTTAGGTTGTGGTCATCTTTGGGATTTCCCCCCAGAACTTCTCTATCAGTGTAGAAGTCTGATGATACCATTTTCAGACCAGAATACAGGTTAGGAGGTTGAAGTGACTATGAAAAAAATTGCTTTACATTTTGATTTCTCTTTTCTTAAATTGTTCCTCATTTTTAAGTGTCTTCCATTTGCATATTCTTAAATCTTGTCTATTTGCATGTTGAAGTCTTCTTGTAAATGTGTTTTCTTTCCCCCAAAATGATACACTCAACATTTCCTGACAGTCTATGTCCCATAGAATTCTAGGTACTTTTGGTTTATTATAACTAAGAGTAAAGAGAAAGATTGCAAATAGCATTTGACAGGCTTCTAAAGTAATACAAGTTACAAACTAAATGTTTTGTCAAATACAATGATGTGATTCATGTTTTTAGCAAGCCATTTCTCCATTAAAAGCTGGACCATGTACACATACATACACAAAAATGTATTCAGAGACAATGCATCATGCATATTTAAGCTCTTGTTAGCAGAAGTGCTAGATGACTGGATTTTATTTATTGCTTAGCTTAATAAAGTTTTAGACCTTGCAAATGACTACAAGAATGGTATACTGTCAGGGGAAGAAAAAGATCCTCATTGGCAGTAGACTATTAAAAAATGGTTTTTTAAACCATTTTATTTTTTCACATAGGCCAACTGCTTCTACATGAACTAGAAGACTAAAAGTCTATTCAGAACTGCTGGTTGCAAGCTATCTGTGACCCAGATACTGTTTGGATTTGCATGAGACATTTCCAAAGCAGCCTGGGAAAACCCACAAATTCAAAGCAGCCTCTTTATCCTCACCCCATTTCTGCTGAGTCCAAGAACCTTATTTCACTTCCTGCATGGTAGGCATTTTTTAGGGACTATGTAAGCCATGACATCTGCACAGCTTTCTGAGTCACTGTCGTGAGATGATACATGCTTGGGTGTAGGACAGCTGCTTGGTTCCCAGAGAAAACAAACAAACACAAGTCACAGAGGAACTCAAGTTTTACTAAAAAACAATGAGAGTATGCCAGTCCAGATCTTTTATTTATTTTTTTGAAAACCTGGACTTTGCCTTTTAAGTTTCAAAATGACAGTTCCCAAGCCTGAGAAGAAGTTTTAAATGAAATCTTTGCTTCTGGTCCTCATTCTAGGCACATATTAGATTTTGTAGATGAACTGGCCAGGCCAAATGCTCTGGAAGTTAGACACACATAGCTCTAATTGTGGGAAGCCATTGAAACACTGTTCACATAAACAGACCCTCTATTTGAGATAGCTAGAACAATTCCTTCACCATAATTATCCCTAAAAAGAGTAAGTCTTTACTTGTTCCACTTTGTGTCCTACACAATGGTGTGGCACTTTCTCTGTTGCAAAGTAAAATAAACATGACCATTTCCCTCACAGAACTTCAAGGCAGAGTACATGGTGAGAATCAGATGAGTATACAAAAGTCCATGTAGTAGCTCACAAAATTATAAATATATAGGTATTTCAAAGATAGGTAAGGAAAGGAGAAAGCTAAGTCTCCTGTTAGAGATCCTTTTTTACAAATGTGAGGACCACTGTCTCCCAAATATTACCTAGAACAAGAAGCAATAGACACTTCCAGTTCTACTTCTTGGTGAGTAAAAGTATACATATTAGATAAAGAAAAAAGGTGTCTTTGTATAGGGTAGTAAGGAAGAAAGAGTTAATCTACTTTCAAGAAAACAGGGGTAGAACTAATGTGGGAACCAGTCAAGACCAAATGCTTCGAAAAATGATTCCTGTCTATACTGAATTTTTCCTGAGGCATGAAGACACAGAAACAAGAGATCAAAAGACTGGGGCTGCACTGCAGAAGTCTGAATAATGTCCACTAGACACCTTGGCATAAGTCAATTATAGGCTTCCTGAATCCCAGTTTTAACCACTAGGAGTTTAGGATAATTTTCCATTTCCTCCTCATATCACTCTTAATCCTACTACCCAAAGATAAAATTCTGAATATATTGTGTCTTTCCAAAAATAATGTTTAAAGTACACACACACACACACACACACACACACACACACGAATACACATACACAACACATGTGTGTATAAATACATTCATGTGAGTATTTCATCTTAAAAAAAAACAGAAATGAGATTATGGTATGAATTTTTTGCCACTATACATTGTCATTCACTTATTGATTGTGAAGATCTTTCTCTAGCAAATCTAGAAGATTTATTTCTTGTTTAAATGTCAGCTATTTAGTATTTCATTGTATGAAGGGCCTATAATTTATGTTAGCAGACCTTTGTTGAAAGACATTTAGTTGTTTGTAACTTTTTGCCATTACAAAAATTGCTGCAGTGAACCTCCTAACATCATTTAAATCTTCAGTGTTTGGCACGGAATACATCAATCTTTCTTGTACTCCCGAAGCATCACCACAAAGCCCCAGGGTTCCAGGAAGTGCAGTTTGAAAATCACTAAACAGGATGATCTTATATTTTCTTTCCTCTCAATTTGTTTCTGTCTGATATTGTTTCTTACTATCTCCTGATAGTTTCATTTAAGTAAATATGTCTGGTCTCTCAAAGCAGATGGTTTTAAGGCTTCCTATTTTTTTTTCACATTCTATGTGCATTCCTCAAAGCCTGGATTAGTATTCAGTGGGACATAAGAAGCATTCAATAAGTACATATTGAATGGCAACTAGAACTGACTTGGGTTGGAGAAATGATGTTAAGCTATATGTATTTTTCTGTTGACAGTAGTGTAGGAACCTGCAGTGAGCCATGATCTCTGCACAGACTGCTTGGATTGGCAGAAGCAGTTTACACCGTCAGACAGAGGCATGATGGGGAGGTGAGAAATTTTACCATGTGTGT